AAAAAAAAAAAAAAAAGATAAATTGTACAGTAAGAGAAAGAGCAGGCCTTGCAGCTAAGTCAGGTCTGCAGTCAAATCCCAGCTCTGCCATCAATTATCTGTGCTCCTTACCCTCTCTGAGCCTCAGTTTCTTCCTCTACAAAATAAGGATAAAATGTATGTGAATCTGTGTGTGGCAGGGCTCCCAGCCTAGGTGAGGCTCTCTACTGTCCCCAGGCCTGTTTCCCCACCTAGGAGAGGCAGTGGGGAGGGTGTACCCAAGCTGCCCTCTGCTCTAAGGTTTTATGTGCGATCTCCAGCCACTCAGAATCTCCATAATCAAGGACGAGAGGTTGGAGATCAGCGGGTGGGTACCTGTGCCGGGGGCTGACGTGAGGCCGGAGCCGCACTCTGCAGACGCCGTCAGTGCAGTCTTTCCCCACGAGGCTGTGGGGGTGGACTCGGTGAGGCCAGTCCTTCCACACCAGGCAGGCAGTCACCTCCACCTCCCGCAGCCCTCCGCAATCCCGGAGCTGCAGGAAGAGAAGTGCTCTTTGGAGCTCCCATCACAGATGCCTGCACCCATCCAACCTCCTTGGGGCCTGCCTCCCTTGGCAGCTCCCCAACCCTCTCCCCACTGGGTCATCTGTCGGGAGCTCTCCAACCTTCTACCCCCACCAGGATGATGGAATGTGTTTGCTTAAGAACACTTTGGGCCAGGCGAGGTGGCTCATGCCTATAATCCCCGCACGTCGGAAGGCTGAGGCGGGCAGATCACCTGAGGTCGGGAGTTCCAGACCAGCCTGGCTAACATGGTGAAACCCCATCTGTACTAAAAATACAAAAATTAGCCGGGCATGGTGGTGCATTCCTGTAATCCCACCTGCTCGAGAGGTTGAGGCAGGAGAATCGCCTGAACCTGTGAGGCGGAGGATGCAGTGAGCCGAGATCTTGACAGTGCACTCCAGCCTGGGTGACAGAGTTTGTACAAAAAAAAAAAAGCCACTTTGATATCCTAAACCAGAAGCTTCCAACTGATGAACTGGGGGGCCTCATATAATATCTGCCCTACAGGTTGCCTTTTTAGGCCACCCAGGCTTTTCTTTTTTTTTCTTCCAGACAGGGTCTCGCTCTGTCACCCAAGCTACAATGCAATGGCAGGAGATCTCAGCTCACTGCAATCTCCACCTCCAGGCTCAAGGGATTCTTCTGCCTCAGCCTGCTGAGTGGCTGGGACTACAGGCGCACACTACCATGCCCGGCTATATATTTTTGTGTTTTCAGTAGAGACGGGATTTTGCTACATTGTCCAAGCTGGTCTCAAACTCCTGAACTCAAGTGATCTGCCTGCCTTGGCCTCCCAAAGCGCTGGGATGACAGGCATGAGCCACCATGTGAAAATTTCAGTATCATAGAAGACTATAAAGATGGGTGGCATGGCCGGGCGCAGTGGCTCACGCCTGTCATCCTAACACTTTGGGAGGCCAAGACGGGCAGATCACGAGGTCAGGAGATCGAGACCATCCTGGCTAACACGGTGAAACCCTGTCTCTACTAAAAATACAAAAAATTAGC